GGAGTAGTTGTTGGAAAGTTGGTCATGTCATATGGCGTATTGCCGATTTGCAGTATTGGGGGTAATGCTTATACAAGTACAGAGTCCGTACTCAATTTAGTGGATCAGGTTTACGACATCTTGCGAGTCTGTGAAGATGATGTTCACCAGACTACTGCCACAAGCTCTGTTCTTGATGGTCTGAATTCTGGACAATTGTTACGTTTGCACCACCTAACATTGATTTGCTTGTGAACCACACGTTTTTGCGCGCCTACACAGTTGTCGACTGCATCAGAGCAGGACGCATCGCTGGGTTCCTTTCTCCGACCGACGGATCACACTTGTGGGACAACAACGGACCCATCAGTTGGACGAGCGAAACATGAAAGATAATTCTTCGTTTGTTTAAAGCAAGCCGAGTTCGGGGTGGACAGAGGATCTCTGGACATGCACCGGCCTATGCTATTTCCAGTCACCAGAAGTGGTTGATGGGGTCCGATGAGGCCATCATGATCTCCGTAGGCCGTCATCAGACATGCACAGGTGTGCAAGGGCAACCTCAAGCATGGCGAACCCATGGAACCCCATCTAATTACTCAATCAAAGCAAGGTTCCAGATCCGTGGTGGAGACAAAAGTTCGTCACCCAAATCAAATGAGAGGAAAGTTGAAGCTTCCAAATGGCATCTCTCTGTTGATGTTGACGAAAGGTGACATGACCCACTCACCCACTGCTGCTAAATGCGGGATAAACTGATCAACCACACGTGGCTGCTTTGAAGGCGCTTCTGGTCGGCAGGCGGGTGCGGCAGAGATGGGATTACATGATTGCATTTGGTTCTTTTGGAATAGGATGCAGTAAGTTGCAATTTGGGCAACCCCCAGAATGTTTGCATCAATGCCAAGCATGTCCAGCAAACAGGAGGTTTTCTGTGGCCTTTGATGCCCACATGAGTCCATATGGTAGATCCGTTAGTTGTATGGTCGAGCACGGACCGGACTAACTACTAACCATTCGCGTCCTTATTCAGCAGTACGTCGAAGGCATAGTCTCAGAAAAAGATTCTATGCATGTTCTTCGGTGGGAGGGCTCATTCATCACCACAGTTCAGGCTCTTTCAACATACAATTCTGCAAACAGCACATCATTTTGTTTTACAGTACAATTATTCCACCCTTCGATGTATTGAGCGGCTTCAGACTTCACTTCCCTGACTGCGAGCGAACAGCTCTCGGAACTGGAGGAGGGTAGAGTCGCTTCAATCCAGCTCTCTTGGCCCAGCTATCTTTTGCATTCCAAACGATGCCACGTCTTGATGCCCTCTTTCTGTTCTCAGGACTGGGGCCGTTCTCAGGACTGGGCGTGGCCAAGCTGGGGCCGTTCGCTCTACTTGGGCGTGTGTCCTTTTAGTGGCCAAGGTCCGACTTCTTGGACCGCACCCGCCCCACTGGTGCCTCTCCACAGGTAGATGGAGCGTTTCAGGGATCAGCCATGGTCACTTGAGGATGAGCAAACTTCAAGGACTTGAAATTGCTAAGAAAGTCTTTCTTGAGCCGAAAGGTGGTTCCTAGGTACATCTTCGAGTCTTGCCATATCAACCCCACCCACCACATCATCGCCTGCGCTCCGCCGAACCGGTCAGGACTATCGGCCGCCCGTGAGGAGACCGGATCGCTGGGAGGCGAGGAACGGGTGGGTGGCGACGTCGGTGGCCTGCGGTGGTTGGTGGTACTGGTGATATCCTTTTGGCAAGGCCCCTTTTGGCGCTGTTGTATCCATACTGCCCATACCTGTGTGAAGGGTGGTGAGTTTAACCACACTGGTGGTGCCCACTTCTAGGCCGTTTTTGTGCAAAATCCGAAGAAACCACGGTGGGTCAGGCATCCGAAACAAGCAAATGATGTGAGGCTCTGAGTAGTGCTTTGGGTCAGTGAGTTTGGACTGAGCATCGATCCCGGAGCAGGACAGACAGGACAGAGGTAAAGGTGGCAAAGGAGCTGCCTAGCTGCAGGGCTGTGGGGTTGTGGGTGGAGGGGTCAACAGATGATAGACTGTAGTCGACCACCATACAACAGATTTGAGTCAAGACTAGACTGCTGTATTGCCTCTAGGGTTTTCGATTGTTTTGCTCAAACTATATAGTTGATCAAGGCCTTCAGTGATAGGACTGGGACGATTGCTCCAGTCCAGCGAGCAGGTGGCCTTGTGTTTGGAGGGTGGACTTTGGACTTGGAAGCTTCTGAAATAGGGAGTGTTTTCAAGAAGCAAGGAAGCACATGAAAAGCTTGTGGGCTTTTGGATCATGTCGGCTTGAACCAGGTTTTGACCTCTTTTTCACAAGACTCTTTCACGGCCTGTCACCAAAGCGGGGTTCTGCCAAGAAAACACATCTAAAGTCCCTCGACACTGAGTGGGACTATGGGTTGAATTGATAGGTGCTTGGCGATCCGAAGTTTAAACTATTACCATGCATATATCACATATCTTTCATGCTTGTTTGCATCTTGCATCGTGCTTGCCTGAGGATAGAAAAGGGCCGGGACCCTTGGGCAAGGTGTGGTGCCGTTTCGTCTGGGAGGAGCTGCAATCGAATGGATTTTAACCCTCCAACCTTTCTGTCGGTAGAAAGATGCTTTCCTCAAGTTTGGCAAACCTCAGAGCTATCAACGTGACCCCTCTCAATGGACCCAGTGCGACTCTGAGACATCGGTGGGCACCTTCTGTGTTTACACGTTTGGTCATGCGACTGACCTCATGCCAAGCGTTAATTCAAGGCTGTTCCCACATGGCCGTGGTCATCCAAACACCAGCCATGTGGCCGTTCTGACCAGGATCCGAGCCATTGTGGTCGATTCCGGACACTTGTGAGACAAGGCCCCCCCGCAGGAGAATGGACCAAACCCCGAGACGACGAAACGCTTTTCGGACCTTACAAGATGCCCTTTGGTACTCCCCACGCCCTTGGCGGAACATGCCGAAGCCAAGGCGTCAGGTTTGGGGCCCAGCGGATGCGGGGTGGGGACAAGTGGCGTCGCGGAAGGTGGAAGGCAGAGAGAGAGGGAGAGAGAGAGCTTGAGCTTCACGAGGCATGGCTTTTGTCCAACATACAGGTCCCCTTTTGCACTTTTGGATCTATTTGGGCGTCACTGTTAAAAACTTTGGATCGAGGTCTTGGTGCTTCAGGGACGTGTAGAATTGCACCTCGTAGTGTTGCACCTCACTTCGTTTTCAAGAACAGACAGAGATGACTGACAGAGTTACTCCATTCTTGTTTTGTGGGGGAGTCGGGACTTGTGGGGACTCGTGGCTAAAGTGCGTCGTATGTCGTTCCAGATCATGCTCGTTCCAGCTCTTGTGAAACAAGCAATGACAAATCATTCCGGAACGCATGTTCCCATCAAGTGAATGGTGATCTTCAGCAGTTTCCCCTAAGGGGTTTCTAATAATAGCTCCTTGGAGGTACCATTTCGCCCTTGTCTTCTCCCGAGGAGAAGGGCGCTGCGGGCAGCTCGGAGCTTCCGGGTTTGGAGCCGAAGGGTGGGCGGGCTGGTTTGGGGCCGGTTTGGAAGCCGGTGAAGGCACCGGTGCGGTGCAGAGCAACGCTTTGGAAGGCAACAATTGCTCTTATTTTCCAGATTTGGAATTGTTTTTTATTTACCAGGCTACCGCCTGCAGCCGCCGACCCCCAAGGGATAGAACCTTAGCGCTAGCCTTGCTCTATGTTAGCCTTAGCCTTAAGCCTTAGCCTTAGCCTTAAGAGTGCAGACCCAACCCAGCACCACCAAAGCAGGTACCCAAAAAG